ATAGCTCAGCGCTGCACAGGATTATATGTTTTGATCAGGAAAAAAATGTCTGGATACCTTTTAAGGCTAGATTACTGAGCCCAGCATCTCTACGTGTTCATAAATTTTCTATGCACAAGAAATCTTTCCAGTGACTGCCATGAGTGTTGACTCCAACCCTGATAGTTTTGACTGCAAAACAAATATCCCCTGCTATTGGATTTTATCTATGTCCAGATGAGAAAAGAAAAACACTTGATGGGAGAGTAGATTAAATGAGAGTGAAGGCAGACTGCTCGTAATTCCTACCTCTTTTAAAAGAGGCAAGAGCTCCTACCATGTTAATAAAACTTCATAAATATTTTACTAATATAAAATGGAATGTAATGTATTCATGCCAGGAGACAGGGAAGTGGTGTGAGCTCCCAGATAGCTCCTCTTGCTGCAATTTTGTGCACTTTGCAACCTGGCACCCAGAATCATAAGCCCAGGACTACTGAGACCTCCAGGTCAGTCAAGACAAAGGCACCTCACAAAGGTCCATCAGTGTGAATTTTAGAGCAGTCAAGACTGAAAAGATCTGCACTGGGTCTAAAGTAAATTTCAGCCCTGAAATACTTTTACATTTAAGTGGAAAACTATTACAGAAAACTAAGTATGGGATTGCAGATAGTCTCCAAGACTATCTGAGACCTACTCAGGCAGGTGTTCCCCAAATTCAGCAGAACACAGATGGAATTTGTGAGAAATAACTGTTAAAAAGTGAGGGAGAGATTTTAATGCCAACAGTTTATCAGATTTCAAAAGCTGTTTTGGTTTTGATCATCATTTTAGAAGGGGGAAAATGGCTTCAGCCTACTACAACTCCACTTAAGAATAGGGAAAAAGAAAATTAATGTTAAGGTTACAGAACCAGTTTGGGTGGCCAGGAACAGCAGAACCTGAGGAAAGTCAGCATGAAAGTGACAGCTATGGGGATGCACAGCATCACTGAGGCTGGTGTTACAGCTCCCTACTTCAGGCTGATAGAAATATGAATGGGCCCACAGATAACAGTCTTTCGGGATTGAAGGCTTCAATAGAAACATCCTCACTGCCTTCAGCCTGTTTGGATGTGTCCCAGCAGCTGGCTATTCCCCAGCCAGAGTCTAGAGTCAGTCTGACAAAACCCCACTTTTCATAAAATCATGTTGTAAATCTTTAAATCAGAACTAGGCAACTGCTCAGAAGATGCTGGGAAGGACTCGGCCATAGGAAAGAAACAACTACCAACCAAACAATTCACACGTTACCAAAGACAACAATAAAAGAAGCCTAAGGACGGTTTCCATTGCTTTTAAAAATAAGTATTTGTAATAGCATACACCAAGGATACAATATTAATATTAAATCGGTCATGATTGCTTACATTTCTTTTGCTGAACCAGTATTTGGTGTTGTGACTGTTTTTTTCACTAGTTCAGAAAAAAATTGACCAACACATGACCAATTACTTAGTTCCCAAACTCAGTTTACCTCCCATTCCAAAGACTAGGGATTTCAAAATCTCTTTAAGAAAAAAAAAAAAAAAAACAAAACAAAAAAAAACTCCCCCCAAAAAAACAAAAAGGAAGCCTTCAACCCAAATTCCTTTCTTGTTGTTTATAACAATAAACAACAGATTTCTTGTAAAAGCAACACCAACAGGGTAGGAAAAAAAATGTTCCAAAGCTAAATTTAGTCCTGCTGGTCTCAGAAGCTTAGTGTTCCTGTCAGACTGAATGGACTCCAGTGGTGTCCTGGCCTGCCTGGCTAGCTGGAGAAATCTGTCCTTGGAGGTCTATTTATGGCACCTCGTACCCTATACCTAGATTGATTTTTAGGGTTTGGTTTGGTTTGTTACACTGGAGCAAATAACCAGGACTGCATTGATCCAAGACACACATGTGACCTATTCAAGTAAACTACCAGAAAAAAAAAAAAAAAAGTGGTTCACACTTCATTTTCTGCAAATCAGTCCCTCTGGACTTCAGCAGCTAGCCTAAATTCAGTCCTAAAAGTTATTTTTATTAAAAGGAGAAATTGATGACAGAATCGGGAGTATCTTTGATACAAACTCATCTGCTTACATACAACACAGCATCCTTTTACCTGCAACAAGGTAAGAACAAATGATGAGATCTTTTTCCTTGATAGTTCTCATCCAAATTCAGCCAGTATCATATCAAATCACTTCATGAGCTCCTTTTACTTTTTAGCCCTCAGAGACACATTCTTACTGCTACCTCTGGCTGTTTCTCCCTGATCAGCACCATTTTCTGTGGCTTGTTTCACTAGTTCTTATGTCATACACAGGCAGCTCCAGCAATCACTACCTCAATGCCTTGTGTTTGCTTTATGAGTTCCCAGGGAAAATCCCTTTGGTCACCAAGTTTTTAATGTAAATCTTACCATGTAATTCTGAGTTGGTTGCAACCCTGCAACACTTACCTTGCCCGCCAGCTTCACCAAATTGTACCCAGTTCATAATCGTATTCTTTCAGTGCCAAGCAGACTTCCATCAAACCAAAATGGCCACACTATAACCCTTTCAGCCCAGAAAGAGAAATGCTTTAACAAAACTACTAGTTATTTTGTAGATAGTGGCTGCCAAGGTACTTTCATATTTCAGCCCCCTCCTCCCTCAAGTTTGTTTCCAGCCACGTCTCCTTGTGATTTTTCTACTGTTTGTATGAAACCTGCCTACCTGAAGGGAGCTGTAATTCCCCATGCTCCCCATCAAGAGCAGATATCCTCTGCTGGATGCAAGTGAAGAAGGTACTTCCCAAATGTTTATCATCTAGACAGGAGAACAGAATTAATGCAGGCACCCTGATCTTCAGGGTAAAATCTGCCAAACTAGCCTAAACTACCTTTAAATAGAAACAGTAAGAATCAGAAACAGAACTACAAAGCAGTAAAACACTCCTGCTGTTAGACTGACTTTGTTAGCATGATGACAGCCCCAAACTGAGAAGGTGTAGCAACCAACTGATGGGTAGTAGTGTCTCAAACCTCAACTTCACATTAAGGCTTCAGTTACATTCACCACTCGCTGCTGCCAAGAGAGGTAGCCCTCTCCCCCCCATCCCTCCCCTAGTTTCTTCCCTGTGGGACACGCGCTTCTGCCAAGTTCTTGCTCCAGCACACATTTGACTGCAGCACAGAGCCAATTCAACTCACTAAAACAGCAGAAAGTAAATCGGTTTTGGCTGGAGAGCAAGCTGAATTGGTTTATCATGTGATCAAGAGAGCACTGGGGTTGGTGCAAGACAGAGGGAAGATGAACTGTACAGCTGAAGACAGGAAGAGCAGAAGAGGTCCAGGCAAGGTGAGAATGGTAAACATCAAAAGAAGCTGTTAACAGAGCTCAACTGGAGCAGGGAATCACAGTCTTAACATGGTCCAGCAATTTACAAAACACACGTCTTGAGTATTCAGTTCCTGTAGATATCTCCTCGTTTCAGGGACAGCAGTTCCTCTGATCTCTGATACTTGCCAGGTTACTTAAAGGGGATTTCGGATTTAGCCCTAGCATGGGACTGCACTAACAGTTATGTATCTTAAGCCCAAATTCAAGAGGTACCCCAAGCATGCTGATGTGTTAAACCCTGGGAAGGAAACGGATTTTCTGGTCCCAGCTCTCGTGCAGGGTAGTGCCACAGCCTAGGGAAACTTTCCAAGGCTCAAGATTAGCTGGGCACGGCGCTACGTTTCCACCACCATCCTGCCTCTCAGGCAGGGATTGCTTTAGCATACAGGACTGCACAATGAACAAATTGCAATGCTGGTTCATGGGTCTGCCCCAGGGTTTCTACAAAAATAGATGTATCCCCATGTTGTGGTTTGAGCCTGGTCAGCAGCTAAACGCCACACAGCCGCTCACCCACCCTCCCCCCACTTGGGAACGGGGAGGGAATCGGAGGGGCAAAGGGAGACTCGCGGGTTGAGATAAAAACAGTTTAATAACAGTAACAGAATAACCCGCTGACAGCAGTATCAGCGGTTAATGTACAATACAGCTGCTCACCTCCCACCGACCAACACCCACCTGCTCCCGGCCGGCGATCCCAAACACAAAGGCCCCACGGCCACACTCCCACAAGTGGCAGCCTCTCCCGGCCCTCTCCTGCCTTTATATAGTGAGCGTAATGTCACGTGACACGGACTATCGGCCAATCGGGGCCCAGCCCTCCAGCTGTGCTCCCCCCGCCCCCGCGCACAGGTGAGGGCACTGGGACCTGGGGAGCCCCTGGGGTCTCAGGGGGCTGCAGCTCCTCCCGCTGCCCGACCCACGGGAGCTCTAGGCCAGCCCCAGCCAGGACACCCCAACAGAAAGCATCCTGAGGGGACCAGCGCATTGTTCCGCTGCAAGAGAAACATCACAGGCTGGCAGTGAGGAGACAAAGCCCCTGGAGATCCACCATGGGGAAGGCTTTCAGCAGAGCACCGCGAAATGTGACTGCGTGCATTCAAAGGGTCAGTTATCTAAAACGTGGCTTTACACCAGAGGAGAGTTTAGTTGCTTACTCCCCTTTTCAACCTGTGTAGCATAACACGGCCTGTTCCCATCCACTTGGTCCTGGGGACAAGTTTCCTCCATTCCTTTTTACTTTCTATCCTCCGTTCCTTTTTACCTTCTATCCTCCATATAGCTCACACTGCAGGGCTTCCTGCCTGGAGCAGGTAAAAACAAAACAAAACAAAAAAAACCCGTACGGTGGAGACCTTGAATTTTAACTTTATTAGCCTTCAAGTTTTATATCCCCTCAGGGCCCCGCTTACCAGATTCGTCCCATCAGCGCCGCGGTACGCGGGGACCTCGTGTTATTAAATTAAACAAAAGCGCGGGTTGTCCCACGCTCCCCGGCGGCAGCTCTCGCCCACGGGCGGGCAGGCGGCAGCACCCGCCGCGCCCCGGCGGCCGGGAGGGAGGGACAGGCCCGGGCGGCGAGGCGGGCAGGGCAGCACCTGCGCCGGGGCAGGGGCAGGGGCAGGGGCGGGGGCGGGCGGGCCCGGCTGCCGCCGGGAGCCGCTGCTGGCTGGGCCGGAGCTGGGCGCTCCCCTCAGGTGAGGGGCGGGGGGGCGCTGGCCTTCGCGGCCGCGGTGCCGGGGAGCGGGGTGCCCGCAGAGGAGCCGTTGCAGGCCGGGTCGCGAAGGGCGCGGGAGTGGTCCGCGGCGGGGCGTGGGGGGGTGCCCGGGGGGACGCGCGGCCTCAGCTCCGAGGCCCCGCCGGCGGGTCCCTCCCGGGGGGGTGAGGGGGGTCCCGGCTTGCTGGGGTGATAGCAGCCGCCCGTGGGGAAAGGTGCGGGGCTGCTGCTTGCTAAACGGCCTCTGCCTGGGGCAGAGGAGCTCAGCTTCCCTGGAGGAAGGCACGGCTTCTTTCTTTGTTAGCCGTAAACAAATATAAGTTTGTTTCTTTCTTTAGTGACACCCTCAGGAGATGGAAGGGAGGTCGTTAGGCGACTGCAGGCACTTCTGCAGTAATGCTGAAGGGCTTTGATGGAAGGCAAAAGAGATTGCTTAGATGCTTAAAGTCTGGCTTTCCATATTTAACAGGTTTGGACTTGAGTATACTGCACTCGAGAGGGTAAAGACACTTTGAGGAAATAACATCCCTGTAACGTTCAATAGAAAATTATCAAGGATGTATCTTCTCGCCAACTTAATTTCAGCCCAGCACAGCTCTGCTAGTACCTAATTTTATCCAAACCACGGGCAGCATTCGGTGCTGCATCTGTTTACGCAGATGGGTGCCCTCCTCTTGGAAACTTCCAGGACAAAGGTCGCAGCCTGCGCTGTCGGGTTTGCTCTGCTGTCAGTGGCAGTTGTATGCATGCTCATGCAATACACTGGTGATTGTTGGGTTTAATACTTTATGTGAGAGACAACATTAGAGAAGCCAGGATTCATGTTCTTAGTGAACACTGTGCCTTGTCCTTGCAGCAAAGGCAGGAGAGTCAGAGAAAGTCAGAGAGAGCCAACCTAGTTTCTACATTCTACAGGAATGTAGAAACGTTGCAATTACTTGATGGATAGGAAAATGTAAATAAGAACTTCCTTCTTTCATGAAGTTAATTTACATGTAGTTTAAAGGGGTTTACTTCCTTTGTTTCAGAAGCAAGTCTGTACTAAGTCTTGGATCATCATGAAATGGATGAGAGTGCTGGTCAATAAGTAACTTTAAGTAGAGCTATAAAATGAACCAGTTTTATTTCTCTGGCTCAGGAAGTTGTTTTAGAAAGAAAGAATACACGTAAGAAGCAAGATGGCTCATGCCGGGAGACGATACCAAGATAAGCAATACAGGCACCATGAGAACCATGGATCTGATACATACGAGGAAGATAGAAGAGCAAGAAAACCATACCCATACAATGCAAGGTACATCTTTATCACCTTAAAGAAACATATCACAGCAGGTCTATAACTGTCATCTCCTTTGTTTGCTTTTAAATACCTTCATATTATAAAGAAAGCATTTATTCAGCATTGAAAACATGAAGCATGAGCATGTCACATTTGGAATCAGGGAGCTATTTTACACTTAAGAAATTTAACCTTTTTCTTTGTATTGAGCTTGAGAAGGGGTAGAAAGATAGGCTGCACGATACAAAGAGAGATGTGAATTTCCTGGGGCTACCTGGATCAAGTTGGGCCACAAGTAGGTGAAGCGTGGCCATGTGTCTCAGTACAGTTCCTGAAGAGGCTGGTCTGCAGGTGACAGCAAGACATGACTTGCCCCATATGCATTGCTTAAGTGAGAATGTTACAGTAAATCTGAGCTCTCAGATTTCTCTAGTTCAGCTGGGAACAAGTTCATATTAATCGAAAACAAAATTAATCTCAGTAGTTGCAGTCAATAAAAGAGTACTTGTTTAAGTGTCTAAGGCTGTGTGCAGCCCTAGATAGTGGGTCAGCCCCTATCGCCACAATAAGCAGATCAACCAATAGTTTTGTAGTGACAGTAAACTGAGGACATTACACTTCTCCTTCCAGCCTGGCCAGCCTACGGCATACTAGGCAGGAGTGTAGGCTGTTTTCCTTTAAGGACATCCCAGTGACTGCATTGGAGGAGAGAGGTCTGTAGCTCTAAACACCACTGGCAAATTGGCCATGGCAGTGAAATGTTCATCACTCACATTTAGTCTCTAAGAATAGAGGCAAAGAGGGAGAGAAGAGAAGTATAGTTAAGATTATTGGAAAGATGAAATACTGAAGTACTCCATAACAATGTACATTTTATCAAGAAAACCAGGATCAGAATAAAAGCAGCAGTGAACAGCACTGTGTGGACTAGAAGGGGTACTTACGGCTAAGTATAAAACATTTGGATGGTGGTAATCCTATTGTATGAAAATAGCTAATGAATTTTTCTTGTGTCTCTCTCAAATCATGAATAATTAGAGAGAAATGGGAACAAAGGTCAGCCTAAGAATCATCCTCAGAAGCTGAATGACTGTCCTTAGAAAAAGCAGAGATCAGGAGGGGATATAGTTAAATTGTCTTTAACATATTATAAGTGAGAGCAGCAGATGTCAGGAACATATTAATTGCACTGTGGAGAGGAAAAATAAAGGGGGTGGGTTTTTGTTTTCTTAATATATATTGTATAATATAAGTGATGTGTGAAAGGATAGATATACATTAAACTACCACTTCTTAACAAAGCGCTTCTCTGGTCTTCCTGGTTTTGCTGTTAGTTTTAAATGAGTGGACATGTAGACTGAAAATTGGTGGATGAACTGTAAAGGCCAACAGACCATCCCTGTATCCCCTGGGGATTAGAGGAAGGCAAGCTGCAGCTACAGATCTGTAATAGCCATGGAGATAATTCTTAGAGTCAAGCTGGGAATCTGGGGGTCACCTGCCCTCGCTACAACTACTCGAAAAATTTTTCCATCCATTTTTTTCATGGAGTTTGGCTTAAGCTATCAGCCTTTCCCTTGCCTAACTCTCACAACAAAACAAGCTGCTTTCGTAAGGAAATTTCAATGATCTGGTGAAGACTGAGGCTGACTGACCAAAAGATGTCCAGATACTGTAAAGAAATAGATGGGAAGAGCTTTGTGGAAGCTATAATTTGGGTGCCTAATGCTTTCATCCCTTAGGAGCAAGACTTTCTAGCTAGAGTATTTCTCTTTCTAAATGCATTTTTGTCTGAAACTCCTATAGCAATCTTCCTCTCATTGCTGAGGAGAAAGAGTTGCATTACCCAGAAATGGAAAGTCCTGAAGGAAAACAGGAGCAGAGGTGGCCAGAATAGGCCATTGTGAGAAAAAGAGCGTCTAAAAGAAAGAATATTTTTTTTCCTAATTGTACCCTGTTGCTGAACATTAGGGGGTTTTTGTTTTGAGTTTTTGTTTTGTTTTGTTTTCTGGCAAGTAGCAGGATACAATAGAGAGAAGCAGCTGCATCAGAAGTACCAAAGGGATTGCTTTCAAGTTAACTGGAAGTCCTATAAATCACACAGCTTATTTAATTTATGTGACACAGCTGCGCAGGATGCTTTGGTGGTTGCACAAGACACAGGACAAAGGTCAGAAAAATCAGAAATGTTTCAGCCAAATAGAGCTGTTGGCAACTACACATGGAGATGTTAGCATTGGTCTTGTTATTTAATGTCTTAATTAAAATGTAAAAGCTACAAAGAACATGATTTAATGTGGATGAATGAGATAATATTTGTAAGTTGAATCTGGAATTAGATGAAGATAAACTTTAGTGAAGTGCAGGGATGCTAAGAAACAGAACTACAGTTGAAAATGCTGATTTGCGGATAAGAAATTCAAGACAAAAACTGAATAGAAGACTTTTAAAATAATAATGCTGACTGTGACTTAAAATACCCTTTAATAACAGAATCAGCCATCTGTACCTTGAAAAAGACAAGCTCCAATTCTTCAAATGAGGGGGAACATTTAGATTGGACCAGGCACTTAGAAAACAATTACAGCCAATGTTTCTTTTCACCTGAGTGTTAACTCAGTTTAAAAAGGGCAAGTTGCACTTTTTTAGAATGATTTAAATCTCACCAACCTTAAAAATCACCAGGCTTCAGATGTGGAGCTGTATGTCATTGCAGCAAAGTGGACAATTCCATTTTGAAGTATACAAATGAGTCTAACTGGAGACACAAGAAATTTATTTTTGGGGGGTTGATTTTAGATTCCTCTTCAAATATCATCAAAGACATCAAAAAAAAGATAAATTTTTAAATAGGAAATTTTTTTTTCTACTTTAAAATCTTTATCTGTTTCCTTTAATAGCTTTAATTCTTTTAAGGTAACTTTGTGGGACACAGTAATTGGAAGTACCAACTTGACAAAACGCTTACCTGTGAAATAGTTGTGCTACTTTACACATTTATTCTGTGAAAATATTTCTCATTTTTATTCTCTGGGCTGCTATGGACTAGCTGAAAATATTTGTTTTTCATGAAAAAGCTGTTGCTAATTTTTATGGTAACAGAAACTCCCCCCCACACCTTCCTTGCTACCTCTTGCAAGTAACCTAAACAATTCAGCCAGCCTATGCAAGCGAGTACATCGTTTTCCAAAATAAGAACCATCAAATGCAAATATCCTTGTGAACATGGATTTGTGCAAGCATTTGGGACACTTGCTTTCAAAACACGTGAGCAAAAAAGATCACATACCTATGAATCAGATTTGCTGGTTCCACTAACAAGAGTGTCTGCCATTTTCCCATGTTCTAATGTTCAGGAGGGAGCATGATCTAATTTATATACCTTAGTTGTTTATTCTGTTGTAGATCAACAGAAGACATCGGAGGTGGCCAGCACTCAAGGACTTCTACTGTTTCGTCAGACCCTTACTCTAAAACCTCAGGAGCAGCACAGGAATATTTTGGCCCACCACCAGAGTTTTATCCTCCCAAGGAAAGCTTCTCAATGAAGTGTTCAAAGGTATGCACAACAAGAGGTATGTGAGATTCTTACTGCCTGCCACCCACCCCTCTCCTTCCAAGAATTTGTCTAGTTTTTGGTTTCTGTGTTTAGAAGCACAACAAAGTAAAGCTAGAGAGATATTTTTAAAAAGCCCCAACAAACTGAGAGAGTGAAAGTTAATGAATGGCATAACTGTAGGTTACTGTCACTTTCTAGGCTTCTAAAGGCAAGATTTATGGAGAAATTTAGGTACTTGAAAATGTAGCTCCAGAATATGCATCCAGAGCATCCAGGTGGGTCATATGTGTAATCACCCAGGTTGTGCAGCAAGAGTTAACCTTTGGGATTCAGGACTAAAATAGATGCTTGCATCTGTAGACAATTTAAAGATGGCTATTGAAGCTTTGATGCTAGTTGATTTCTGACACATTCTTCTCAGACTTTTTATCAACTCTGGATTTAATTCAGTCATCACTGATACATCTTTATAAAGCAACATTGTGGGAGACAAAACTATTTTGTGGACATGAATCCAATAAAACAGCTCTTGAGAAATAACTTGGTTTTTTTCATAGCTAGAAAGTGACTACAACAAGCAGAGAAACTATCATTCATGTGGGGGGAAATCAGCCTTAACACTTAGTAAAACTCTTTCCCATAAACTGGAAAAAAAAGTCACTAAAATATCCATTACTCCTTTAAAAGTTTTCCCTGTTCCAGGACAGTGAGCATTCTCACCTTGTTTGTAGGAAAGGCCCACTGCAGTCTGAGTTGAAACTTGCAGCTAGGTGCAAAGTCTTTTGCTCAAGGCTATAAACAGCTTTTCAGTGTCTTCCACTAGAGACACAAATAAAGAGTTTACTTGTTGGAAATAAATTAACATATATAATGTTAGATTATTTCTTCACTTCATGAAGGAAAGTTAAATAACATACTCAATTTGCTCTTCGTATTTCTCTGTATGTGAATATGTGAACAATTTTAAGAGTGAGCTGAACTATTTTCTCATCTAAATATACTCTGTGTATTTGTGTGCAGTTTGTTTTTCATCTCGAGGAAATATAACACCCAACAGTTAGTAGAGCATATTTAATGATGCAGAGCTGTACTGATACTTTGTCAGGGATAAAATTGTATCAGCAGTTTCTTCTTCAACAATACTAAATTATTTTAACCTGTATGAGAAGCTCTAGAAAGCTCCATGCCTTATTTTATCACAGAAAAATTAAGTGGCAAGTTATTTTTAGTTTTCAGTCTTACTGGTTGTTTAGACTTATGGATGGCTTAATGTGACTTGCTGTTTTTTTTTCCCCTGCATTTGCATCTCATTATTTCAGTGCATTAAACATCATTAACATTTTCAAAATGTCCTAGTTTTGGATGCATCAGGCAACAATGATGATTTCATTCCCACCCCTCCCCCAGGTATTGCTCAGTATTTTCCAAAAATGTAATGTCTGAACCTGCAAGTGGAAGAGGGAAAAGAGACAATGTAGAAAATAAACCCTTTTATTAGCAATTTTATTTCAAAAAATGAAAATATATTGGAGGTTGATAAGACTGGAAGAATGTTACTCCCCTGTTTAATTTTTGAAAGTACCAAGATTTAGCAGAATTTCCTAGAATTGTTTTGTATTCCCTGCAGTCATAGTAAATAATGTAAGTTAAAAGCTACATGAATTGTTCACTAAGAAGTCAGTACATGTGAGCTATAACTTCTTACAGCATGAAAAGTTCCTGTAAATACTTCTTAACCATCTCTTTCTTTTGCTAGTGATTTATCAGCACTCTAGTGAAATTCCCCCTTCCTGATCGCCATAATTCTAAAATAAACCAGTATCAACAAGGCTGGGAAATCAAGTGATATACCACCGTTTTTCCAAAGCAACAACTGAAGTGTGACCCTTAGTTTCTGACTGTGTATCACTCTACTTTCACTATGGTTTGGTTTTTTGTTTATTTGTTTGTTTGTTTTCTTTGGCCTAGCAAATATGCTTTGTGTATGTTGACTAGTTTGGCAGACTAGAGAGGAATTCTGAACAGCCAGAGCTCTGAAAAGTACTTTCTTCACCTAGATACTGCCCTCTTCATCCATGCTTTTCACTAACACTATCCCAAAAAGCTGAAGCTGAGTTTCAGAAATAGGCAGTTATTTTTGCAGCGATCCTTTGAACACCTTGGCTGCAAGCAGCAGCATAAAAAAAAGACATCGTTCTTCTAGCTTTGTTATTCCCACCTTCCTTCCCTAATCCCCACCCCCTTTTTTTTCCCTACAACTACATTAAGAAAATAAACCCAACCCAAATATAATGAAGGAAACAACTGATGCTGATCCCTTTGCTGGTAGGAACATTTGATACCATCTAATAAACTTTAAAACATTCTGCTCCTTTGTAGTCCTTTCATCTTGAAAACAGAAGAGAAGTTTGTTAAAACGTTATGTGAGCAATACCTATTCAAAGCCGTTCCAGGTGGGATCATGTGGCTGGATCACACTGGGCACCTCATTAGGCGTCCTCTCAAACACATACCAGAGTGCAAATTTAGAAGGACCGTCAGAGTTTGGACCAGTAGAGAGTGAGCTGTCCTCTGGAATACTCTCCAAAATTCAGATTGGTGGAATTCTCTGAATTGGAAAACAGCATTCACTTCTGTTACGTTTAATACCTCTTTACACTCCAGTCAAATTTGTTTAATCCTTTTTTTAATCCCTTTTTGAATGTCAGACCTCCACATTATTTTATGACAAGGAGTTCCACAGTTCCTTTATGCCACTTGAAGAAGAACTGTTTTGTTCCTTAAAACATTTTAAAGAAAGTATCTCTGATTCTGGTGGTATTCAAAATACCTAACGATAATCTCATATATTCACCTTCTCCATGAGATTTATGATTTTAGAATTAAGTCTTCCCTCTCTCCCTGTCACTGTGCCCCTATCGCTTCTTCATAGATTGAATAATAATCCATTCTGTCCCTATCAAGAGTGAAGTCTCTCCACTTCTGGTTAGTTTGCCAGCCTTAGACCTTTTCCAGATCCATCGTACCCTTTTGAAATTGTCTGACCAGAACTGTACTCAGATTTCAGGAAAAATTCCCAAAAGAATCAGCCATCTGCATAAAGGTGCTGGTTCTGTAGTCCCATCCCAGTGCTTCCTAACTTTTCGTGCGGTGTTTGATTACCAGTGAACACTGAGCTGATGTTTTCAGAGAAGGCTACCTGATGTCTTTCCTGAGTAGAAAGGATTTGTTTAGAGCCCATCTGTGTACTCTGTAGATTGGGGGGTTGGGGGGGTGTTTGTGTACATGCATGAAATGTGACGTTGCTTATTAAACACTGATTTCATTAATTTCTCATTCAAGAGCTTGAGCTCTCAGCAGCCTACCAATTTTACCGTTGGCAATCATGAAGAATTTTTTGTGATTATTATTAAGACAGACTTCATCTCACTTTTCAGCCTTTTCAATTCATTAGTCTGTGGATCTACAATAGTTTTTTGTTGTGTACTTTTGAGCTGAGTCTCTTTGGAGTCCCCATTTACAGATCTTTGGGCCATGTTGCAGAGCACTCTCAGGATGCACAAACAGTATTTCCTTTGGATAAGATTAAATGAGAGGGTGAGCTGTAACTACTAGCAGGCACTCTGTCCTTTGGACCAAAGTAAAGCTAAAATGAAGTGCTTCTCTCTCCCCAGAAAATGTCTGTTGGGTAGCCCCTAGGTCTTCAGCTCCAACTGTTTGACTCCACAGATCCACTCCCATTGCACTGCTAACACGGACATAACTAGTGGCAGGCAGCACAAAACAGAGATTTCTCTTAACTCTATTTGTTTGAAGACTGGCTGTTTCCTCTTGCTCTTTATTTACTTGTAACCACTACTAGCTTGAGAGAGGATCTTTTATCTCACAGGAGCTTGTGCCATTTAAGAGGACTACCACTTGGATTGCCTTTCTTCATATATCTGCTGATTCGTTCAAGTTACTTCCTTCTAACAAACTTCTGACTCTTCCTTGCTATGCTATATTTAGGTCTAGTTTCTGTATGTTTTTTTTTTTTCATAGGGATGTCACACTTGTGGATCTGCAGATTACAGATTCAAAAGGCAACAGAAACTCAGAAGTCTGCCACCTTCTGTTTCTGTAGTAGTGAAGGAGACTTAAGGAACAGCATATAGACTAATGTCAAGCTGCCTAGATGCTCTATATAGTTATATGGGAATTGGAAATAAACTGTTTGTGATAAAGACAAACCTTTCATCAACTAAGGAACTACTGCTTGCGATAACCATTTCTTACCACTAGTGCACAATAGTGCGTGCCATTTAAATCAGCACACGTTGAAAATGACAAGAGTTCTTGGCCTGAGGATACTTACAGCTGAAATTCTTTCAGAAGAAAATGCTCAACTTGCTTTTCACAGCGCAGGTAAAATTTCTGCAGTTCTCTCTTCTGTGTAGAAAAACAAAATTAGTAACCATATTTACCTTTCAAAGGACCACCCCCCCCCGCCTTGGGTCCTTTGAAAATACAACCAGATTCAGTGCTTTTGCTTACCAGAGGGAACAAGAGAAGTGTTCAGGGCTGGCTGCCATGCTGCTCCCTTCCCCTTAAAGAGAGCAAAATCCGAGTCAAACCCAAGAGTGAATTGCTGATCTTAAATTGGTCATCAATATTTAGTCACTTGATCTTGAAAACTTTTCATTTTCTTTTATTATGTATATTGGTGTGAAAGAGGTGGAGCAATGCAATTCCATGGTAATGCTTCCTTTAATTTTACTTGAACAGTGAAGGTAAACTAAGTTTCTTCCATCTTTGGTCAGTATGCAACTCAGGAAACGCCTGCAGTTTGGCCTTATATAGAGTTGTACTGCTCTGGTCATAATTTCTGAGCTAATAACTTCTTTTTTTAATTCTTCAATCCAGTTGGCATTTAAGGAAGACAACACTAAAAAGGTTAGAAAATAGTTCGGGGAAGGAGCAAGGATAACTGAATCCCTGTTCTTCACTGCCATGAATACAGCTTTGCACCATGAATAG